TTTTTTTGCCAGTAATTTCACATTGACACCAACATCTGACAAATGAAAACAGCAGTCTACAGAGCATTAATACGGTAAATTTTAGTTCCATAGTAAGTCTTAAAAAAAAAAAAAAGGAGCTAGTTATCTCTTTAGATAATTTGTAGTAAAATTGCCAAATTTTGAACTATTCTCAGTTATTCAGAATTATTTTTTTTTTTTCAAGTACAATAAGAAGTGTATGAAATTTGATGTATAAAAATATCAACAGTAATTACGGTAAAATCAAACAGTTCCAAATGCAAGCATTTGTAAAAAAAACTATTTAAATATGGTCACTGATTCAAGGCCGTTGTTTATAACGATGATGGGAAAAGAACGTATTACTAAAGGAAATTGAGAAAAAGTTAAAGAAAGAATAATTAGCAAAATGTGTCTTAAAGATACCGCTATAGATGAAGATTGTTGTAATTTGTTTCGCTTGATTACTACAAACCTTTATTTTTTTTTCACTTATCACTGCTATCAATCTTTACTTTTCATACAGGTTTTTCTATTTTCTTTTCTTATCGTTATTATTACGTCTTATCGACTCATCAGCAAAAACCAAAAAAAAAAAAAAAAAAGGAGGAGAGGAAGAAGACGAAGGAGAAGAAGCAATTGATTGTTTGTCTAATTTTAAGAGAAATCTGATCACCATAACCAGTTGATTACTTTTCAAATTTTCTTAATTGTCATCAGTATTCAACGTTTCAGGTAACCTTTGTGCAGCTCAGAAAACAGTAGTTATCGATTCACATTGTTCAGTGTTTAAATTTGCAGCTTCTCTTCAGTCATTGTCATGTAAAAAATAGTAACAGCTTCTCAAAATGCCTATATTTCATGGTTTTACCACAATACCCAAAAAAATTTTTTTTATTTAAAAAATTGTAATGGCAGAAGAAAACCAAAAAAAAAAAAGTCTCTTTACTTAGATAATTTTGAACCGCTTTCACCAATCTTATTTTCTTATACATTTTATAGCATTAATTAAATAAATGATAATAAAGAACGTGCACCAATATTCTTAACTTTCCAATAACAATACAAATTGGTGACCGTAATGCTGAAGAAACAGTAAAGTCATTTACGCACTGCTGCACATTATCAGACATGCGAAAATGAGGTTATTGGTGAATGGTAACACATGTTTCCAAGATTATCATGCATATGCATGTTTACTAAATTATTGTTTATGTTATTAACGCTTTTCTCCGGTATTTCTTAAACAACAATAAGCAAAAACAATAGAAATCTAGTGAAGTTAATATATGAAAAAAAAACCTTTTTTTCTGCTTTTTTTTTCCATCGTTTAAGTATTTAAGTTGTAAAACATTTTTGTCAATTGCAAAAAAAAAAGGTGACAAACTAACAGGTATTCATAAGTTTCAATAGGTCAAAACACTTTCTCCTATACTAAAATTAATTTTTCACAACATTCTTCGTGTTGTTCTCTCTTTCCTTTCTTTTTTTTTTTTTTTTTTTTTTTTTTTTT